AGTACCGAGCGAAAGTGAACCTTGCGCTGAATCCTAACGTGGGAAGCGGAAGAAATGAAAAGCTTCCCCTCATCTTGATACGATCTGACTCACTCTCCTCTTCTCTGAGTCAAGTCTAAACAGGATGCTCTCCTCTTTCTCGCTCTCTATCGTTCCCCTTCTCTCCGGTTTCTGTCCTCTAGCAATAGTCTTCACCAGACTCCAACTTCCCAAGGGAGTGGGCGGGGCTGGCCAACTGGGGTGAATGTCCCCCTACCGTTCACAGAAGCTACTGTCCTTTAATTCATAACTAACTAAAGGTCTCTACAATGAGAGGAGGGGGGGGGGGGAGCTTAAAAGTATGCCATTTTGGACACCTCGTCCGCATCTCTATACTCAATCGTCCAAAAGGAGTGGGCAGGGCAGGCCAACGGGGGTGAATGTCTCACTACCATACCCTTCTCAGAAGCTACTGTTTTTTAAGTGGGAAATAACCAAAGGTCTTTACAGAGAGAGAGAGAGAGAGAAAGAGAGAGAGAGAGAGAGAGAGAGAGAGAGAGAGAGAGATTGGGGGGGGGGTAGGGGAGGTTTGAATGTCTGCCATTTTGATCGCTTCTCTGCCATCTCGTCCCAAAGGAGTGGGCGTGGCTGACTAACTGGGGTCAGTGTCTCCTTACCCTTCACAAGTGCTACTGTCCTACTTTGTTATGATCTGTATTCAACCTGGGAAAGGAGGGGGCAGATATTTCAAATTCTGTCAAATTGCTCTCATCTTCACGCATATACTCTTTCAGCACTCTATAATCTTTTGTGGGTGGGCAGGAGGAGCTGAGCTGATTAACCAGGTTCAACATTTCTTTACCTGTCACAAGAGGTACTGTCCTCTGTAAGATCATAGAGCTAGCAGCAGTAAAGATCTATACACAAATGTTTAATATTCACATTTTGTGTGTATCCATAGATCTAAACAATTATGTTCTATGTAATATATATATTTGAGATATTTGTAGTTTTTTAAAACTTTTTACAGAGTACCGGTAGCATTGTCAGCTACAAACCGCTTTTCATATTGGTCCTGTTGGTCTGGACACTAATACGATTAAAGACTGAAACTATAGACAAATTAATTGCTAAGTCCTCACACATTCTGCAGGAAATCAATTCATTCCAAGAAGAATGTCTCACACAGGAAACACATGATTACATCATTTACCATAACCACATGCAGAACACAGTATCCGAGGCTTATTTTTTGCAATTGTGCTATTCCCTAAGCAGGTGATACTGTCAGATATCAGCAATCGAGTTAACATTTGAAGGACCTACATGACAGGCAAAGCAAGCAGGGAAGCTATATGATGTAATTTTCTTGTAAACATCCTATCCAAGGGACTCTGCAGTCAGCAAATAATGATTGAACATGCTTAACGTAACGGCAGTGGTTCCCGGGCCATTTCTTTCTCCAGTAACTCCATTGCACCTTCTAGTTATCATGCAAATGACAACAAATGCATTTTTGTTTTCCTCTTGCGAAAGGCAGTCAGATAAGAGTCAGTGAACTCTTTATTCCTTATGGATATAAGATTCATACAGACTGTATGTGTGACAAAAGTCAACCATGGCAGACCAGTTTGTGTTCCACATATAGTCAACGAAAGCAAGTAAAAGGTTAAAAACTTCAGTTCTACCAAAATCTACATTTTCAAAAGCCAACAGCATCAGAAGAAATTTCAGATAGACTAAAGGGAATAAACTTTACACTTATGGGTCAATTTTCAAGTATACAGGAAAAGATTAGGATCCAATACATCTTCCTTTAAATCCGATCAGACTATTTGTGAAACTGGACAAGAGAGCATAGACATAAAACTGATTGCATGACAGAGACTGCTGCTCTCACTTCCTGTCTTCCCATCATGCTTAGCAACAAGGATGATAACAACGGGCCATCATAACAGCCCAGAGAGAAAAACACCCAGCTGTGTGCTTCAAGGAGGTGTGTTCATGCACAGGCACTATCGATGTTTATCAACAGTTTATAACTCCCAATACAGGAGCTATACCAGGATTATAGCCTAACTTGCACCCTCTATATAACAAACAATGCCTAAGCGGTACACGTTGGTCCCCCATGATCCCCCTTTTCTTATGTTAATTGAGAGCTGATTTGATGAGATAACCACCAGTCAGTGACCGTGCTGGGAGGTCTAATCTCTCCTGGCCAAACTAGTGCAGACAGGCTTCAAATTCCAAGGATATGTGAGGCTAATTTTCATGTCTTAATGTTCTTTCATAGATCTTCTTGATCCTTCTGTAAAACGAACTTGTCTATGTTCCTCCTTGTCACCTTAGTCGGCATCTTCTGCATCTTGACAAGATAAGGAAAGACTGTCATCTTGCAAAGGTGTGCTTATATTATAGTATATAAATGACTCATTTAACCTGGTCTAACTGAAAAGAGGCGGCAGGCAAGGAAGGGACGATCGACAGTTTGACCCACCTGGGTTGTTGTAAACTATCTATGGCGATATGCTACATGTATACCATATTAACTACTAAAGTTTGTATATATGATATTCAAGTTGTTGATGAATGTTGGACTTGATGTACTATACAGCACTGTTTGTTTATCGCTTGAAGTGACCACCTACAACAATGTATAATTATCATTATTACAACTGAACAGAAACATTGAGTTGAATAGCGCATTTCAAAAAATACCCCCCCCCCCCACCCCACACACACAAAAGAAGAAGAAATTGATAAGGGTGCAGGGTGCAACCTGAGCTCAAAAGTGAAGTGTGAATGCTAAAGCATAAAGATCCGTCACAGAACGACATGACAGGCAGGTCTTGGCAGCAAGCTAAGATAACAAATAGATATTTCCTCTGGAAACCTTTTAATCTCATTGCTGGCAGCCAGTCCCAGCCTATTTGGGGATAGTCCATAAATTGTCACGAACAGGGTCGCAGGCAAGAAGGAACAAATTGGACTAGGACTTACTGGGGCATGTAATTGAAAGTCCTTTGTTTTGCCAGAGTCCTTCGTTCGTTCAACCGACCATGAGCGATCAAAGCGAAGGAAAGGGAGGTGCACCTCTCTAAGTCTTGCCACATTGCAAGGTACGACTGGCATCTGCCACTGCCGTTTGAATAAATAGACAGACTCTGATGATCGATAAAAGATCCATCCTTTCTGGAATCTAACTCTGTGACCAAAGTAGGAAGGGTGGTACAACTGTCAAGCCTTTCCACCTGGGAATCTATCAGCATCATTCAAAACATAGACATGCTTTGATAATTAAACATTTCTTCTTTCTCCAATATCTCAAAAGTGAACCACTTAGGATGGTTATTTTCAGGAACACCTGCTAAGCTGTCCCACATGGGAATCTGTCAGTACTCTTTTGAAAATAGACAGACTTTGATGATCCCTAAAAGATCCTTTCTTTCAGCATTCAGTCACTTCAAGGAAATCTCAGGGGGGGGGGGGGATACAGACTGTGATAATTATTACAAGTTTTTCAATTTCTGGGAAATATTTCAGAGAATGCTATAAAAAAAAAGGAATTTCATGAATAGGAAAGCCTGCTCAGTTTCCCACATGTCATATTTTCAGGTGGAAAAAAAAATCAAGATAAACAAAATAAAAACAAAACAAACCCTCATAATTACTAAATATAACCTTTCTATATATGAAGAGTTTCATTCCAAAAGGAGCTAAATCCATGTTTGTAACTTCGGAGAAAAAAGCCATTGTTTACCAGATTTTGTACAGGCTTCTATGGAAAAGTGATATTAGAAATTGAATTTTTTTCATATTGCTCCAAAAATTTAAGTAAATAATTTTGTTCAAAGACGGGTACTAAAGTGAACTATGTTCTGATATCAATAACTCCATTTTCATCAAAAGTGGATTTAGCTCCTTTTGGAATTAAGCTCTTCATATATATATGCAAACTGTTCTTGTGAGCAAATCCTGAAAGGGTCGAAACACCCGCTAATTATAAGCTTTTTCATATGGGAATTGATCAGCATCATTTTAAAAATGATGACCACTAAAACATTCTTTTTTTCTGTAATATTATAGAGTGAGCAACATAGGAAGGGAGGTGCATCTGTTTATTATAAGCTCTGCAACAGGGAATATATTGGTTCCTTTCGGTAAATCGAGAGACTGTTCATGATGTTCCCTGAAATATCTTTAAGGAGGTACACCTGTTCATTATAAGCGCTTTCTCACAGGAATCTAAGACAGTAGACAGACTATAGAGATGAATTGAAGATCTCATTTTTCTGAGAGAAACAATGGACAGCAAGGTAGTTCTCAACATGGAAATTCTTTTAATACCAGGATTGTAAATAGACAAGCTTTGATAATGGATGGACGGTCGTATCTCTGGTGTCTGAACATAATGTAGACCCTGTTTGAAGCCCTGGGCTGTCAATACAAGCACCACTCTGACTCTGATATACATGTATGCTCCAGCAAAAAATTCCCGCTACTGCAACTAAGGCATTTGGTCATAGAGGGCAGCACCAGCGTCTGGTATATTTGGCGAAGGCACTTCTGGTTTCCATGCAAATACAATGAGTCAAGAACTGGAAAGTCTGATAGAAATTATAGTTTCAGAACCCAACAAACTAAGTAACAGTTAATTATGGTGCCTACATAGATCTCATCAAATCATTGTGGGAGTTAAAGAAACCTGAACAGTAGTTCAGTAAAATAAGGAATGAGTTGAGACTGCTGTTCCTTCTCTATGGAAGCTGGAAGAAACCTTGTCTTATCGTCTTCCGCAGCGCTGACCTGCACAGCTTGGGAGGAAGGTCGCTATCTACCGACGAACATCGTATTTGCGATAACGTAAATCGCTCCAGGATTTATTTCATCAAAGATATACAGAATTCTCTTATTCCCTATATGTTTAACATAGAAACCACCCTGTTCCAGCAAGCAATGGGTTCAATACATTCAAATGCACTTTTTCCCCAAACTGTTTACATGTAGCAGATTCTTACCTTCAGCGTTGCTCTATGCGTATCTGGTAGCACCAAGACTAGGAGGTTAAGGCACTGGAGCTGCTTTTTCCGGTCCTTGATTTCTTTAAAAAAGGAAACACAAGGAAAGATAATATGTTTATCAAGCAATTACGCTTATCTAATATCAATAAAGGAAGTCTCACGTCAAGGCTTGTTTATTCCTATCGTGTCAGTTAAATAAGAAATCAAATTTGCTTTTAACTCTTTATCTGCTGTGGATTGAAATCCTACACTGCCACATTCTCTTGTATATCTTAATACATAATAATAATATAACATTTATAAAGTGCTTTTTCAATAGGTACCAAAGCGCATTAACAAGAAATACTTGAAAACAAAGAGAGAGAACATTATCATACAGTATCAAACAGAGCGGAATATTACAACAAATTAGAAAAAAAGTGTTTTCAGACAAGGGTAAGGAGTTCCAGGATTTGGTGGCCATAACTGAAAAGGCCCTATCAGCTGAGGACCATATATACATATTCTTGTGTTAAAAGTTGGCTGTGGCAGTCTGTTGCTTGTGCAATTACATGTAGTTGACGAAATCTGGTAAAGGTTAACTCATGCTTGATTAGCATCATTCTTGATATGCCTTGTAGAACAAATATTTAAATGAAAACTCTAGTCCAAAGAATAAAAAACTCCTTTGCAAGTCATAGAAACACAGGTATGAAACCTGATACAGATTATTGTGTATCCAGAAACTGTTGTTTAGGTTCCATGTCCTGATATAACTGAATCACAACAGATGCAAAACCAAATTTCTGCAGTTCCTTAAAGTTTATCGTCCTGAACATGGCTGTCATTTATATTTTACAAGAGTTTACGAAAGTTGAAAGCATCATATATGTTCATATGGGGTACTCACTCTCGACCATTGCAAAGGCATTTACATATTCAAATGTGAGGATGGGTGTGGGCATCTCTCTCAGGAACTGCTTCAAGAGCCCGACCGCATCATTGATCCGTAGATCATCAAAGCTGAACTTGCCATCGTAGAAATCACGCTCAATCTCTTCTCTTAGTTGCTGTAAAAACAATTATGAAACAATATTTTAATTGTTACCACCATTTAAGGCTATAAGCAGAAGTGGGCAAAATAAATCAACTTATTTTTTGACAGAAACACCTGACATCAGTGGGTTCACTTTTGGGCAGAACGTCAAAGACAAATGAACATCCATGTTGGAGGATGCTCTACGAAATTAAAAGCTCTCTGTTTTCATTTTCAACTTAATAGTCCCATTACCCGGCACTATTAAAAAAAAACTACATAATGAGCAAAGAATCCACGTAATGAACACATTCAACTTTAATATATCTATTGAATTTAATAAGTGAAATTTGTGCATTTATGCTTGATTTTCTCTTAGAAGTACATGTAATGACAGCATTATAGTACTGCTAAAAATTTGTGCTGTTTTTAGCTGGAACATTACCGGTACTTGTCCATGATAAATTGTATGACTCTATATAATTTGACATATATAATATAATATAATATAATAACATGACAACCAATACCCCTCAGGCAGAACACAACAGGGTTTAACACATTTCTTTTTATTCAACCACACAGGATCCCCCTCCCTCCCCTCCCATGGGTAAAAGGCGTCAAATATAGATTAATGCCTTCCTCAATGGCATCACTATGGCTGGGGTCCATTTGTTACACATGTACGAAACTTTCCAAAAACTGTATTTCCCTGTTCACATCATAACACACATCAAAATGATTGAGTTTGACGTGTCTAAAGCTCTACCCTAATGTAACCTTCCATTAAAGTGCAGTAATAAACAGAAACAAGGTTAAACTTCCTGTGGAAAATAGAACTTTTCCTATTTTCTCTGGCACCAAAGAAAGAGGTACAATCCCCACTCTTTCTATAGTTTTCAATGCAATGATTTTGTTTTTGGGTAGTAGTCCCATTTTTCATCACTGCCGTAAGACTCAGACTAGAGTACAAGTAACAAATGTCACATGTGAATGTTTAGCTTTTACATTTGTTGTCACCTGTGACATCACAGTAAACAGCAGTAGATTCTGTTTGCCAATATACATGTAGATACATATGATATGATTTCTCAGTAAATGGGTAATATTGATTAAAATGGGAAGGTTAACCTCATTAAAAGAATACACAATAGTTCAGTCCATGGGGTTCACTGAGATTGTACTTTTAAAAGAGACAGTAGGAAAAGGTTGTTTGAATAGTTGGTGTATTGGAATAAACTATAAGCCTCATCTATTGAGGGAGGTTTCAACCCTGAAAATGAAAGAAACTGATCAAATCTATAATCTATTCTGACAAAAGTAACAAACACAGATCGGCCAAGGCATAGTAATTAAAGCTTACTTATCTGGCTTTCTAGAATCAGACTTTTACTGTCACCTAGAAGACAGTGTCATTTTTATAAGGAACAATTATCAATGTCACAAGTCTGTTACAATCATCAAAAAATCCTCCATGACAATTTACTCTATCCAGAGAGATTTCCACAATTTTTAATGAATGTTTGCCAACTTTACTGTTTTTCCCCTCTCCAAACTTTCACCACAATCATACACCCAAGGTTATAACTATTTCCAGCATATCCTCAAAACAATGTTATTATGTCATTCGCATTCTCTTTGAATAAATATTTAGATAATTAACTCACGGTCATCTTTCCACCGCTCCTATCCATTTCCCCCTAACATCACATGACTAATTTCCTAATATCAAACTCATATCAAACTAGATCAACTTGTTTTCAATGTTCCGCTGAACTCATCGCAGAAAATGTTTTTTCCAGTATTCAATGAACCAGATTTTCCTCTCAAAATTGGCAACATTTAATGTTGGTTAGATAGTTTTGTTCTTCTATGAGAAAAATTACATGTGTCAATGTCTATGCAATGAAAACATTACTACATGTAACTGATGCTGCAAAACAAGAATTATTGCTGAAATAGAAATTCTCATTTTGTATTTTGCTAAATGTTGCCAATTTAAAGATTATATAAACCTTATCCTTTAGGGCTTTAATATAATTAGGGACATATTGTGTAGTTAAAACAGATGTTGAGTTGACAGATACATAATATTTGAAAAATCACAATTGTCTGGTGCATAACATTATTACACAAAACAAGCTGTCTTTTTCCATAGTCACATCCTGCATCACAACAAAATCAAATTGGCAAACATTAAAAGATTGTTTTGCCACTTCAAAATGACCTGTCACTGCCTATTATTCCTAAGCTCAAAATCTGATTTTGTTTTCAGCTTCCTCTCTGTCAAGGCGAGAAATGTGCGTAATAAACTCTTTAGACCGGACTGTTATTACCCACCCATGTCAACAGGAAACGTTGCTTTCTCTCGCTCGCTGCACAATAGGCTGCTAATCAATGCAAGGCAACCTCGTCCACACTGCTCCAATCCTGATTACTGCCCTTTGAATAGTGGCCCTTAGGTTTGTTCACACTTTGTACCCTATTTCAAAACTTTGTACGTAATTCATGATGCACTGGAAATGTCATCACATTCTATGCACATGGTAGCCTACAGTGAACTTGTAGAAAAGGCGTTGTCTAAACGAGCTTAAACTGCTCCACAAGCCTTTTCTGTTTCTATATACATGTATGTCAGTTTGTTAGGTAACAACAACAAAAAGCAACTAAAGAAAGCAACAGCAACAAAATCAAGATTTGTAGACTGAATTGTAAATTTCTATATTGTCTATTGACTCTATTGTGAAGTAGGGACATTTTAGAGGGGCGGGGGGGGGGGGGGGGGGGGAGAAATCAATAAATTCACATCACTGGTACAGAGTTCAGTACAAAGTTACATAATCTTGTCAAGTAAACCAAACATTATAGAAAGGTGAAATGGCCAAATTTGAGCTCATGTATATGCAACCAAGGTATTAAAGTGTAAGGATTGGTTGGGTAGCTCCAGGAGGGCACATGCCCCCCCCCCCACCAATCAGATGATCTGGACTAGCTCCCCCGTGCCCTACCCCGCCCCTAATCGAGTAAGACTGGCGCCCCCAAATCATTCTAGAGTCCCCTCATGGGCTGGACTCAAGCCACTGGCATTGACTGAAAATAGATAATAATAGCACAATAGTGAGAACATAATTGTTCTATCCGTTATTTGGTGAAAGTAAAAGCAGGACTCAGTGATTATGCTAAGGTCAGTTTGGCTGTTTTCACAATTGTAATAGCGTTCAAGGGAAACAATTACGAGCAAAAACATTCTGGCTTGCAACAACAAATTCCCATCACACAGTAACACTTGATGATACTTGTATGTATTTTCTTATTATGGAGATATAGGTCATTCCATTGTTTGACAAAGTCAGATTAGATTTCGTTTTGTTTCTCATGCGTGAACTCCAACTACCTTTGGACAGCTTTTACACACCATGAGGAAAAAGATGCAATCTTTTATATTTTTAGTTGAGAGCAGTAATGGTTTCCTTTTAAATCCATCCATTATGCTGTCTTTAATACATTGACCAATCAGTCGATCATGCAATCAATAATTCAATCCCTATCGGCTTTCAATCAATCACGTTAGCGCTGGCTTGGTATTGCATTATGCCAGACAATGACACAATTGGCAAAGATAGTATTCAATCAATCATTTCACCTTATACATGTAATCGGTCATTTAAACATTGAGTTAATTCACCATGAATGAAATTTTACATTCATTGATTAAATGTAATCAAACATTCAATGAAATCAACAGTTAACACATTGATACATGTATTCATTTATCATGATATCAACCATACTATCAATTCATCACTCACTGTAATGCATTCAAAACTCAACTCATTCAAGAATGAATGAATGAATCAATTAATTAATTTATCAATCAATCAATCAATTTTGTAATCAACCAATCAATTGGTAGTTAATTTATGGATCATTTGATAAATCAGTCAATGACTTATTCAGTGATTTCAATCAAAATTACCTTAATTCTTGCTGATGAGCCAGGTACTCTTAGCACGCCTTCTTCGTGTAGACCATGTACTTCTAGGTAGCCTATTAACTGAAATATGAAAATAAACTAACCATCATTACAACAATATAACAAAAACATCTACTACATGTACAGTTAAATCAGGGGAAAAGGTAATGAACCTCTACAATTCGTGAATAGTATACCAAACTATTTAATAAGTGAAAGAATGACTTTCCCTTTAACATCATCCGAGGTGTTTTTAAAACAACTTTTTATTGTACCGGTATACTATTAGGTCATGTTTTCAGCAGCTCAGATGGGGCTGCTTGAATGGAATGTGGTATTTGTGTGAAGCTTGTGCAGCTTTTACATTAACTTCTGAAAGTAACAGTTCATTGAATTACCCGTCAGCACAATCGTTATCTTTAACCTGTATCTGTCCTTATTCGATTAAACAAAAAAATTCTCAACATGTTAGAGTACTATTACATTTTGAAAAAGAAAGTCAATAACAGGAAATGCCCACAGTGCTCAAAGGGCACCTTTAATCTTGTGTATTTCACATCATAATGGAACACTCGCACACTACATTGCCATAATGATCTCGATACTGTGCATTATATGTATTATCAAAGAACAAATGGGAATCTTTCCATTGTACACAATCTCTCTCTCTCACGTCAATTCTCCCACAGCCTTGACTACACCTTACACTTTTATGACCATGGCAGTGTTTTTCAAGCAGGTTTCAAAACAACCATGTTTCATTTCAAACAATCGCCACGGGCAACATTGTAAACAAGGAAAAATACACAGAGATCTTCTCTGAAAATTTTGTTTAGTTAAGATACATTAACACCTGTAAATGCAATTAATATAGAGGAATATACTGAAAATACATACTTACACATATCAATAAAAAAACTAAGCTTCTATGAAAGTACACTGTCTTTCGAAGACTTTCGCTCTCTCTCTTTTACATAACAACATAAGCTCTCATCAAACTGGTGAATATGGCTGTCCAACATCAATATCACATGTTAGCCCCAGGTCAAGTCAATTTATGTCACTCTCTTTTGGTATGTAAAATGAACCCCATATTTCCTTTTATACCCAAAGAGCAAGAACCACGCCGCCACAAGATTATTTCAGCACCTGAGTTCTACCCCATTGAACAATATTATGCAGTAAGAAAAACACTCTGTCAAAATATACGTCGGGTGTCACTGTTTCTATCGATGTCATGTCATCTGTAAGACAGTCACGTTCCCGCTCATAATAGATCATTACTATAGATACATGACAGGTGTTATAATCTGACCAGTGTGCCCATCCCTCTTCAAGGCCCTAGCTACACTCTCAATTCCGTTGTAAGGCTCAAGGTTTTTCAAATGGAAAAATTGCTAAATATCTAATACACCCTCAAGTTTTCTATACAATTAAACAAAAAAATGTACTGTAAAACTTGTATATAAAGACTGCTCCATGGAAACATGAAAAGTAGTCTTTATATGCAGGTGGTCTTTAAGCACAGGTTTCTTTAGTGCAAGCCTTCAATGAGAAACCTTATTCAAGGGAAACAAGAAATGCGGTCTGTATAGAAAAGTGGTCTTTCTATACAGGTGGTCACTACAGCAGGTTTGACTATATTTCTATGAAATGTTTACAGGAGTAGTTTTCAGATGTGTCCCATATGTCAAGAGGCATACAAGGATGGGGTGTAATAATTTATCCCTTATTAAAGAGTTCTTCAGAAAAGTAATCTCATAAATGTCCAAAAACTGAGGTAATGGAATCTGTGTCACAGTTGAGCATGTGGCCTCCCACAACAGATTTGAACAGCCCCAAAATGTTCACTTGTCAAATGGGACAAATGCGGCATTTTTCATCAGCTTGCCATAAAACAAATGGGTTTCCCTCAGGCAAGCTAGATAAAGTGGGAGCAGTTAATCCTCTTCATTCTTAATCTAATTCTTACCTTTTGTAGAAAAAGAGGTGTAGTTGTTTCTGGACTCCACATTCTATCATGGGCAATGAGGTTTCTTAGAGGAACACCAAATACACCATTCTCTGAAATGAGATCAAATTTAAGAAAAAAGTAGTAATATACATATACAACAAAGAGAAATGAGAATTCTTTACCGGTTCAATTACAGATTAGGTGTGGACGGTTGTGTGCCCCTCAAGCCTCAAAACCCCTTCCCATTTTAAGGGTCATTTGGGGGTTTTTTTCCCTCGAAATAAAGGCCCATTTCTCAAAGTTTTTGGGTGATTGCCATGCAAACACCTGAAATTTTGAAAATCGGACCCATGTGTAGGGTTTTATTGTGAAAAAGTGATCCATTAGAGCGGCACACCCCTGTATGTCTTAATATGTAATCCCCCCCCCCCCCCCCCCCCCCCCCCCCCCCCCCCCCCCCCCGCTCTAAGGACATGACTTTTAGAAGTAAAATAAAACACAATCATTACCTTTGACCCTCCTCTTTGTTGACTTCCTGACAGGTTCAAACTCAATCCCCATCCTGTCAAACATGGCCGTCAGTTCTATCAGGGCAATCTTTCTCACTTTATCAACATCCTTTCCTGAGAGGAATTCCACCGGGGTCGTACCCTGTGCATCTTTGGCAATAGTGATATTCTGGAGAAAAAGAAAAGAACGATGATTACATTGCAATTGCAAGATCATATTACAATTAAAACAAATCTCCTGATGAACGTTTATGGAATTTGACAATATCTTTATCTGAAAAGGAAAAATTCATATCACAACAAATTGTATGATATGAAAATATCTTTCACTGAGAGAAGTGGTAAATTTGTACCAAAAAAATGCAATACAAAATTGACATACTTAAGTAACTGAAAAGAAAAAATTCAGATGTCAATGGAATATTACATTATAAAAAAAATTACTTCATATAGATGAAAATTGTTGATTTGCAGTTGATGCAAAAGTTGATACAATTTGCTACTTAACAAATCAACAAAAGTTATGTGTCAATATATGCCGATTACATTTTTATATTCAAAATCATTTTACCATGTCAACCTAATGTTCAATATCTAAAAATTTACATTTAGCTTTGAAAACTTGTACCTGTAACATGCAGCAGTCAAAGAACGACTTGACATGCAATAAGGCATGAAATGATTACCAGTACTAAAATTAACTTGTGATTATGCAATCACTTTGTTCATTACACTTGTTAACATGCATCTTTTTGGCATTGAATTCATAAATACTTTATAGCTGACATTTATATTTTTGTGTCAAATTGAGGTCATTGAAACTTAATTAAAATACTTACTGGTAGGGTTGTGGCAAGGTTCTTGAATAAGTCTTCTTGTCTTAAAAACACTTCATCACCACCATGTAGGTCCTAGTTATCAAAGAAATAAAAGAGTAAAATAATTTTATTGTATCATTCAGATCTCCTTTGAAATATATGTACACCAAAGTAGTATTCAAGATCATAACATTCCTAATACAATATTTGAAAAGAAATTGGTTGAATCAGTCCTCTCTATTAGTTTTATGAAAATGGATAAGAAACAACAGAGAAAAATATAGTTTCATAGAGCGTGGATATACAAATATTAATCATAATTAATTGTATCATTCAGATCCACTTTGAAAGACAACAAAGTAGTATTCAAGATTATGAAATTCCTATTACACTATTTAAAAAAAAGGTAAATCATTCCACTCTATTTTTCAATAAAACTGGATGAGAAACAGCAGAGAAAAATATAATTTCATAGAGCAGGGATATACAAGTAATTACTCAGAATGTTGAAATAAATAAGAGATATGAGAAAGTTACATAAAGTTACAGAGATATGGCAATAATAAAACCCCAAATATTCAATCCTGACACACACTATCTGTGACATGAGAATAGGGTACATACCAAATAACCAATACACATATCAAATTACCAATTATATATTATTGAAAAACTTATACATAGTATTAAAGGATTGAATATATAATTTTGCCTGATCTCCACAAAGTAATACTAATCAACCAGCTTAATTAATAAAAGTCCTAATGAAGTCTGTAGAAAACTCTAATATCATTTCAAAAACACGCTGTCACAAAATACCATCTTTACAAAATATATGATGAAAGAATGTTTACCTGGACTCTCTTTCTCTTTCTAGAGAGAAAACTGCACAACCCAAGCAGCATTTTGGCAATCATGAAGAAACAACAAATCACAAGAAATGGGACAGGAGACACAATTAGAAACAAAATGATTTCATGGACATGATTCCTGTTGTTTAATCCTTATAATCCTCAGGCAAGGCGAGCGAGGCACCAATCTGTGACAGCAGGGTAACCCAAAACCATTGATTGCTTAACAGCACATAAATATGATGGTGGTGGGACTATAAATATACACACAGGTACATCTAGATGTCGTGAAACCGGAGAAAATTGGTAGAATCTTAAACCGCGGTAGGAAGAACAAAATCTTGGTGAGCGACAAATCTGAAAAGCCTAGTTAGAAGTGATTTCCTCAAAAATTTCCACTGTGGGTGGATCACTTCAATGCGGCACTCTCCTATACAACACCACAATGAGGTAAGATCAGGCTGCTCTGAGTAATGCCAATGGATTGATCCAGTCGCGTCCAAACCAAACCGTTCATGTGATATCGATTCTTCAAACTATCAGTTGCTTAACGATCAATGGCAATTAATAAACCTTCAGCTTCTTGGCGCAGCCCCTCTCGAGTATAAACCTTTGGCAATGTCCTGTCAGAATTTCCTCATTGGTTTGACAAGGTTGACAGAGTGCAGTATTTCCCCCAACCTCTGAGCTGATCGGTTTACGAGCGCTTCAACCACAATGCAGGTATACCAACAAAAATGAGAGTTTTATATCCGATGTGTTCCTGTACAATATTGTATTTACTACACTGTCTCATTTGGGGTGCTCCATTATCAATGATCTTTGTTATCTATGGTGGATATTTCCTGAAAATGTTTGGATTTCAACCCTTTCCTTGACGGTTGTTCAACTCTTAAGAAGCAACCACAATTAAACTGTGGAGTCTATGAAGAAAGTTCCAGTTTCGTGGAAAGAAAATCCAAAGAAAGTCAACATGTTACAACTTGCTAAACAGACAGGAATATCCTACCCACATTAAAAATGGATAAACACTGTCAAACTCGACAAGGAAGAAGACATCTCATCAAAAGTCAAAAGAGAGAAATCGGGTAATCGACTATTATCGATGAGCCAAGCTCGTTCCAAATAAAGGCAGGTTTTCAACAATATGTTGATGAAATAGGAAATTAAAATCGGCAGAGAAGAGCTAGGCCGATGTACGTGCAGGGCGAGAGACAATGCTATGGAAGTGAGAGGAAATGGGTGAGGGTTGGTATAGGTAGCCCAGTGGTACTAAAGCTGATAGCATGAAATGTCATGGAGGGGCTTCCTCTAACTACGTCAGGATATACACGACACGAAGGTCAAGCCAACGTGACAGAAATGATGATTAAAATTTGTTGAGTTTTATTTCACCTATGAAAGAGAAATGATTGTGATTATTGTCCTACAATCATGATCATGATCCCCATACTTCATGGGGGTTTAACATTTTTGTGACACAAATGTATTCACTATATACTACTCTACGAAGAAAACTATGAAAGTACAAAAGAAAATGGTCTTTATGTGTGGTTGGTTGGTATGGCACAGCCAGAATAGAATATCCTTTTTTAAAGAAAATCAAGCGATTTTCCCCCGTTTGTCAGAATAACCGCTGTCTGAGGCCCATCATTTATCAGTGTATCATATCCTTTTCCTGCTGATAGTGATAGTCTCTTTCCACTGGTTCAATACTGACTGACCAGTACAAATTATGATTCGGCAAAAAAAAAAAAGCTTCCTGCGTCCCATGACAGTCGTCGGCGGGAAATGATGCCAATAAACTAATATTTATATTAATGTCGAAAATGACGGATGTAAGTATTCATTGGCAATGTTCTGGTTTGAGCAGCAAATTACAAAGAAAGCAAATATAGACTATATAGAGCAAAATATTTTCTTAAAAATTCACAATTTTGGAAAGTCATAGCAAGCATAATTCATACAGTGTTAAAGTATTAGTAATCTTTTGCTACATGAAACCAAATGAAAAGAGCAAATGGGACAACAATGCTGTCACAAAAATAGTGATGTAATTGCTTAAAGATTGTGACAGAGACTTGTCGAAGTTGATCCTCCTGAGTCAATGCCGATTCTATACATTTCTTGTTGTTGGGGGGGGGGGGGGGGGGGGAGGTGCCTGTCACCTCTCCCTATTTTGACAAACTTATGTGTTAAAATTATACTTTAAAAGACTGACAGCAATGACTTATCAAAATGTTAAAAACTTCTCTTCTTTTTATTTGTATTCCATGAGTGGGGTGGGGGTGGGGGAAGGGGTTCTTGAATGAGAACTTTATTTCTCCAAACCTTGGTATTTCCCATTTTCAAATCAAATTCATGAATGGTTTACAAAATATACATAATAATATTAAAGCAGGATAGATTACTCAATTGAATTAGAATGAAGGATGGTGATTCAACGTGACTTAGGAAGCAGACAATGTCACATGAAAATCATTATGCAAAGACATTGATAAGATAGATATCAGCTGTTTCTATTTTTTGAATATCATTTATTACAAGTACAATCTAGGCAAACCAATGGAGCAGATTTCTTAACAGTTGGGGGGGGGGGGGGAGTATTTCCTAAACTCTAATGTCAGATATGAAATTGCAGACGTGTCATGATCAGCTGTATTGAGTAAATATTGACATCTCTACAATTACCCTATTCAGATCAAATAAGAAAATCATTCAAAAATATTTTGCTTTGCAATATTCATTTATCAAGTGAAGCAAACTTGTCGTTTTTGTTCAGAACCAAAGATTTAACCTTTGAATCTTGAAAATATATTTCTTGCAATTCTCATAATTTCTATAATGAAGTGTCCACAATGGGAAGAATATAAGAAGAAAAATGTAAAGAAAAGAAGAAGTGATTTTTTGTCTCTCATTGTAGAGTAGCCAAGAACAAATGACAATGACATGTATTAATATGCCATCAATGATCAAACAAAAGGAACAGACTGTGATCCCTTAAGAGAAGAGGGATTATGCTCTGGACTTCCACTAAACAAGGCCTGAATAAAGTTTAGGAGAGGGAAGGGACTCTCAGAATGAGCTCATATCTTCAGCTGATCTCCTCCGGGCTAATCCTATAATCCAGTGTGAATCCCTCCTTTTAAGCTGGGGACATCTTAAAGGAAAGCACTTATTTGCTGCAAACTAAAGCCCTATGACCAAGGGTCACCCTCGTCATTTTAGATCCTGCTTCATAATTTTCATCATGTTTATAGATTGATTCAAAAGTTGAAGTACTGCTTTCGACACAATCATTCATGCTTCTGATAGTTGGCCTCTGCATTTATCTTGATTAGTTGATTTACCTCCATACTTGTTTTTGATATGTATTTTTTTGTTCAGTTGTCACATTTTATGTAAATCAATCATATCATATACTATAATTGTTAATTGAATATTTTGTATTTGAGTTTTTAATAATTGCAAAACATCTGCTCAAAAACAAAACAAAAAACAACACCAAATTTAAGTTTAACACAAATATATGTATCAGAGGCGAATGTTCATATTCCTACTCAAAGACAAGCTTCAAATGATCTTGATATCTAATATCTAGTTCCATTTCAATCATGACTCACGCATAACTAAGTATTAGTGCATCAGGTCTCAAACCTACTTTATAGAATTTATGGCAGATCAGTCTCCTACAAATCCTACAAATATAGAGGACTTCAGATCTTTTAACATCCCATCAACACTCCAAAGCCTTGGGGATATATCCTAAAGTTGGTCCAAAAAATAACCATAGTGAACAAAGACTTCAGAACTTTCCAAAACCCATGAATTATTTTAAACTATTACACTATACTATTATTATGATGATGATGGGATGACTGAGGAAGCATAAGAAAGTAGGCGAGAAGATAACCACACATTGTAATAAAAAGACTTCAGATCTTTCTCCATCCCATTCACAATTCAACAACTTAAACAATCCCAGTAGAAACACGGTGGGGACGTACGTGACCAGGCTGAAAAAGAATTTGGATCTTAGATGTAATCCCTATCCATGACACATCCATGTAAAGGGCAGTGTAGGATAGATACTTGTCGAGGAAGCCAGAAGCCTTCATGGATGATGGTTGGGATTTGTCGCAAGGTTTCAGACATTGCTTGACTCACCCTCATATAGAGGAGGATCATCACAAAGGCTTAAATCTGGAATTATATTCTTAATATGTTTGCAATCGCAGATTT